GCTGAACCCGAGGGTGGTCAGGAACCTTCCTGACTTGCAGCGTCAGGAGTCAGGGAGGCCCGAGTTCTGACAGTTATTAACCTCACCGTCTGCTTCCTCACTGGCAAACTGGAATAAAAATGCTACAAGGTATGACTGCCTTAAATAAAGTCATCTACATAACACAGTTCATGTAACATATCCTTTTTTAATTTAATTTTTTTTTTTGAGAGTTTTTCGCTACAAGGCGCGTGTGCTCGCCAGACAAACAGAGAGAGACATAGAGACAGAAAGCAAGAAATCACCCCCCAGGGGGGATGGTCACGCTGCAATCCCTTCTCCTCCATTCTCCTCTCGGAATCTTGGGCATGCGCACACACATGCGCCCGGCGTGAGTTTTAAGCCACCGGGTCCGGACGCGAACCGTGGTCAACCACGTGGGAGTCCAGCGACATAGCCATTACGCTAACTGCTGGTTCCCTCCATCTGTTTTTTGAGAGAGATCTTTACTATATGGTATGTGTGCTTGCTGGAGAGACAGAAAGTGAGAAATCACCACTAGGGGATGATTTCGCCACAATCCCTTCTTCATTCTGCTCTTGGGATCTTGGGCACATACGCACACATGCCTGGGGTGTTTTAAGCCATCGGGTCTGGGACTCGAACCACAGTCAACTATGTGGGAGTCCAGTGACATACCCATTATGCCATCTGCTGGTCCCTCTATTATTGTTTGAACTTTTATCAATTTTTTTGAGAGGTTTTTGCTATCGGGCACGTGCACTTGCCAGAAAGACAGACAGAGACAGAGAGATAGAAAGCGAGAAATCACCCCCCCAGGGGGGATGGCCGCAATCCCTTCTCCAGTCGCCTCTAAGGATCTTGGGTACACCTGCGCACACGCCCGGCATGAGTTTAAGCCACTGGGTCCGGGACTTGAACTGTAGTCAACTGCATGGGAGTCCAGTGACATAGCCATTACGCTATCTGCTGGCCCCCATTAATGTTTTAATAGAAGAAACTCAAGCCTGCCCTTCCACTTTTTTTCTTACACTGAAGTATGAGCTTCTTAAATCTGTCTATACAGTCCTTACTAATGCAAACCTCTCTGCTTAACCTCGTTAGCAAAAGAGAGTCGAAGACATGAGAAAATGTTCCCTCTCCATCAGTGCCTAGGGGGACAGATACAATTCTGCATCAAAAATTGACTTCGGAGACTCTTATCTGAATCAAAACCATGAGATAACACTTAACTCCGATCAGAATGGCTATGATCCAAAAAACTAAGACTGACAAGTGTTAGCGAAGCTAACTAGTGTTAGTGAAAGCAAGCCACCAGGTCCAGGATCCAAACTGTGGCTGATCACGTGGAGTCCAGTGCCTTTAAGCACCACGCCACCTGCTGGCCCCTAAATCCGTGGTTATTTGTCGTACAGCAAATTAACACAGCGAAAAAAACAGTATCTCTGGATACATTTCACCTCTGTTCTGGAACACCTTTTCGCTGTGCCTCAGCCTGATAAGCAGCCCCTCAGCATGAGGACTGGTTGGGCTGCCTGTGCAGACTTTTCAAGAGATTGCGTGTTCTGTCTCACCGAAATTCCTGTGTAGAAAACCTCAGCCCCCTGGGACCAGCAGATGGCATAATGGTTACGTCAGAACCACGGTTTGGGACCAGCAGTTGGTGTAATGGCTATGTTGCTGGAATCCCATGTAGTTGAGGTTCAAGTCCCAGACTAGGTGGCTTAAACTCAGGTTGGGCACATGTGCGTGCGTGCCCAAGATCCCGAGAGGAGAATGGAGGAGAAGGGACTGTGGTGTGGCCATCCCCCCTGGGGGGGTGATTTCTCACTTTCTCTCTCTCCGTCTTTTTGGTGCATGTACGCGTCCTATAGCAAACAAACAAACAACCTCTCCAAAAACAAAACAAAACAAAACAACCTGCAGTTCAAGTCCTGGACCTGTGGCTTAAAACACACCAGGTACATATACACATATGCCTAAAATCCCAAGAGAAGGGAGGAACTTTGTTACAGCAGCCGGAACAGCTAGGATGAGACTAAACTGACACACGTGCAAGCAGACGGAGAGCTTGGTACACGAAAAGTGCTTGGTAAGCATGGTCACACGCCACTCCTCCTACACTAGACCTCCGGTTAGGATGTCATAGTGGGGGAGAACAATTCAATACTTACAAAGTGACTTATTAAATGGGATTTACAGGTAATGTCAATTTCTTCATGCATACAATTACATCTATTAGTATTGCTTAATATTATGTCACATGAATTTTTTTATGACTATGTTGAAATAGTCTCCTTTTATTTGCACGATATTCTATAAGACGAATGCTTTGTGATTTACTTAACTAGTAAATTAGTTCTGTCACCCTAAGCACTAACTGTGGTCAAGGTAACAACAACAGCCTTTGGTTCCAGAGAATGGGTCTCAGCCTCTTTGGAGTAATACACACCCTTACTCAATGCCAAGAATTACAGCGTACTCCTCGGGAGACAGAACACCGACAAACACCGACAGCAAGTGCACAGAGGGGTTACGACCCCCGAAGACCCTCTGCCCAGACTTCACACCGCTGCCCCCAGATCTAGCCTGGAGCCAGGTTAGAGTACCCTATTTATTCTGTCTCTCTCCATCTCTCTTTCTCTTTTAAAATATTTAAACTTCTTAGCTCTCTGCTGTTCTCCAGTCTTGCTAATTCCTACCTTTCCCCCTGCCCCCACAGGACGAGCCAATCAGCAGCCGTCTATATCCGAGTTCTAATTCACGTGGGGTGCTAGCGTCTGCGCACTTTTCATTTTTTGACAAAAACACAATGTTTTTCTTTTTATTGTTTTTGTCTTTTTTTCCTCTTTCTTGCCTTTTTTCTATTCCTGTTCCTTTTCTTTTTACCTTTCTCACTTTCTGCTCAGCCTCCACACACTGATTCTCTACACAGGTCTAGGTGCTCAGTAGCCAAATAGCTGAGTACTTTCAGCGTCAGGCTAACCCTCAATTTTCATTCAATCAGCTATGCAAAGGGAGAAAAACGATATTATTTATAGACTGCAGGTCACCTCCTCCTGTGTTCCTCTGAGTGCTCAGATTTAACTCCAAAAACTAGGAAAAAATGTATAACCCACCAGATGACCAGGAACCACAGCAGAGGCACAAGAAATATGAGAGACCAGGAAAATATCTCTCCTCTAAGGGAAAAGAATAACCTCTTCCTCCAGAGAATACAAAGGAACTCACGGAAATGGCAGATAAAGAATTTTAAATATTTACAGTGACAAAGCTAACAGAGATGCAAGAGAAGAGAGACGACAAACTCCAGAAGATGCAGGAGAAAACAGCAGCAGTTAGCGTAACAGCCATGTCGCTGGACTCCCATGTAGGTGGTTCAAGTCCAAGACCCAGTGGCTTAAACTCACGCCGGCCACGTGTGCGTGCATGCCCAAGATCCTGAGAGGAGAGTGGAGGAGAAGGGATTGCGACGTGGCCATCCCCCTCTGGGGGGAGGTGTGATTTCTTGCTTTCTGTCTATCTGTCTCTGTCTTTCTGGCGAGCGCAGACACCCTATAGCAAAAACCTCTTAAAAAAATAACAAAAAACAACAACAACAAAAAAACACACAGAATTCTAGGAGGTGAGGAAGTTCTTGCTTGACCTGAAAGAGATACACACCATAAAAAAAAGAATCAAACGGAATTGTTAGAGATGAAGGCTCTAATACAGGAAATCAAAACTTCCTTCAAAATATCAAAAGCAGATTAGATCATGCAGAAGATGGAATCTCAGATGTGGAAGACAGAACCTCTGGCCGAGAAAAATTCACCAAAAAGACTGAGAAAATAACCAAAAAATATCAGAATAATATTCGAGTAATACTAGATACCATTAAATGCCCAGACATCTGGGTCGTCGGTATCCCTGAAGGTGAAGAAACTATAATAAGGGCATTGATAATCTACCTCCATGAAATCCTGGAAAAAAACTTTCCAAACCTAGGAAAGATTTCAAAGATCTAGTCCCAAGAAATACAAAGGACCCCTCATAGAATCGACCCAAGATCTTCCCCTAGGCACATCAAAGCCAGATGGACCAAAACCACGGGAGACAAGATACTAAAATTAGCAAGAGAGAAACGTCAAGTTACTTTCAAAGGCTATCCCATAATGCTAACGTTAGACCTCTTATAGGAAACAATATGAGCAAGGAAAGAATGGGAAAATACATTCAAAGTGTTAAGTGAAAAAACAAGAATACTATACCTGGCAAGATTATCTTTCATATGGGAAAAAAAGATACAAACATTCTCAGATAAACAAAACCTGAAAGAATTTACTAACACTGGACCAGCTCTCTAAGAAGTTCTGAAGGGAGTGCTATACCAGAAAAACTAAAGTCAGACACACAGAAATAAAAGTACAAAAAACAACCACGAGAATGGCCAGTTTTATTGTAGGGACAAGTCCGGAGTTCAATGTTAACTTTCAGAGTTTAAATGGAAAGATCAGACCACAGTAATACTGCAAATTCAATAGAAGAGAGCTTAATTAATTACATGAGTTTTAAATAGTGAAACAGAATTTTTTTGATTTTCTACTAAAACATTCCTGATTTTCTTTGATTTCCATATTTAAGGTTTTTTTTTTTTTTTTGTCTTCGTTGAATTGTTGATATCTTCATCTACCTACTATTTGAACTGAATCTTAACCTTTTTCTTGGCTTTAAGTTTTAAGCAAATTTCCCTTAACATTTTTTTTTTTTTTTGAGTTGACTACATGGGAGTCCAGCAACATAGCCATTAAGCCAATTGCTGGTCCCCGGTATTTTTTAATTTCAAGAAAAAGTTTTAGTTTGGGACCAGCAGTTAGTGTTCCTGTTCCTAAGTCCTGTAAACACATCATTCAATGGAAACAAAACACAACTTACCTGAACCTTTATTTTACAGTGTGTAACAATGTTCTTCCTCCGGGAGATCCTTTTCTGAAAGGTAGCTGGCCTAGGGGAAAGCCAAGAATGACTGTAAGACATTAGAGCCTTTTCTTGGTGGAGTACAGGCCACATTAGAAACCGCCCTTGGAGGGGCCAGCAGGTGGTGTGGTGGTTAAGGCGCTGGACTCCCACATGGCTGACCATGGTTTGAGTCCCAGACCTGGCGACTTGCTTTCTCACTTTCTCTCTCACTCTGTCCCTGTCTGGTCAAACTAAAATAAATAAATGAATGAATAATTAAAGTTAAAGAAAATAATTATTTAGGAAAAAAAAAGAAACTGTCGTTGGGGAGAGCAAGTGGTGTAGTAGATGGCAGACTGTGGTTCAAGTCCCGAACCCGGCGGCTTGAAACTCATACCCGTAGGTGTATGTGCACGTGCCCCAAATCCCGACAGGATGGAGAAGACTGAGGCATGGCTAATCCTCCTGGGAGGTGAGTTCTCTCTTTTTGTCTATCTTTCCAGCGAGTGCCAAGTGCTATAGCAAAGGTCTATCCAAAAAAATGAAAAGCCTTCGGAGGCACACCTGTCCCGGGGTCACATCTAAAACCCATTAGAAATAAGAGGACCCTGGGTTCTGGTTTGCCAGTGACTCCTGAAGCAGAGACACTGGACTCCAGGCTACACCATCATAACACCTGTGCTCACACAGGCACACGCCCACACCAGCCGTGGCCTCACAACTACACACACGGTCTTGAGACACGCCTCAGACTGTCACATCTGAACACTCGGCCCGTCAAAGAACCTCTCTCGGCCCCAAGCACCTGCGGAGCCCGCAGGCACGTACCTGACTCTGGACACACGGCCGGCTGCTTCGCCCTACTGACGCGTGCGCAGGCCGGGCTCCGTCACCCCAGCCGCTGGCACACACCTGCGCCGCGGGACGCGGCACAGACAGCACGGGGGG